CGTACTGACCCCCAATCTAACAGTAATGGGGGAACAAATAAAGAACTATACGCACATGCATGTGTATGAGTATATCCATATATAGGCGTGGGGGGGGGGGGCTGGCTTTCATAGAAACGGGAGGAGATTAAATAAATAATAGGTAGCTCTCTGACCCGTGTGAATTATAGTCTAAACTCCTAGGCTCCCGCTTGATAACCCCTTCAATACTCCCCTAATAAAACCCTACATAACCCCCCTGAAGGAGTTTAGACTACAGATCATGTGAGTTTGGGGGGGGCGTAGCGCCAAGATTCTTTGGCTTCTCGCCACCTTGCAACAAAAAGTTGACGCCAGCATGCTTGGGCTTTTTGGGTGCTGGAGGGCTGAGTTACTCTCACAACAGCTTGGTTGCTGTTACGGAACTTATAGTCAGGTACCGTATTAATATGGGCCTATAGTTAATCATAGGGTCTCCTCGGTATAGTAACTTAATTTAAGTTGCCTAATAGCAACCTAGACAGAGGCGCATAAGACACGGAGTTAGTCGGGAATAAGGGAATCTAATCCCTGTATAATTTACCCCTGTAGTCCCTATTAACCCCCACTAAACTTCTCAAGGTTGCACGCACCTAGCATCCGCTTGGGGGCGGTTGTGTGTGCATCAAGAGGGACTATACCTGCAGTTTTGAAGTGCACTCTCCTCTCCTGCTGCGACTGCAAAGTGACTCCAAACCCTATCCCAAGCAGGTCCTAGTCCCGCGATTGTGGTTCTCTCCGCATGAACTCCAAATTTTATACACCCCCCCTTCAAGACTCTTACATGTGGTTTCCATAATTAGGGGCTCCAAAATGCGATAATCCTTGCTGTAGGAGCTCCAATAAGGGGAGCCCCGTTTTCCGGACCCCGCCACATGACTAGACAGGCAAGGAACCACATTCGCAGGTCTCGGAGCTTCCAAAGAAAACTGGAGGTCCTAAGGAGACTGTTGATGTAGGCGATCCTTCACAACCCTAACTTTCCTTTAGAGTAAACTATTTATGCTCGGAAACTCAAACCTTGAACCCCCAAACCCCCTAAACTCATAAATCCCTAAATCCCTAAACTACCCTAAACTCTCCATACTCCTTGGAAGCTCCCATCTAGGCTCTATGCTAAAAAAATTCTGTTGGGCGCAGCTCTGTGATTGGCGTGTCGTCCCCCTGACGTGCTTAAGCATCAGCTTGCAGCTTCGTTCCGCCTGGTAGCGGGGTGCCTGCCATCGTAGGGTTTACATGAGTCGTAGTCTGAACTCCTAGTATCCCCCTTAATAACGCCTATAATAGTCCAAATTACCTATCCAAGTAATTTGCTCCGCAACATAGACCCGGTGTGCAGGGTTCAGGTAAAGGCAATTTTGCGATTGGATCCCCAGATGATAGTTGATCATTGTGAAAGATGATATCCCCTAGATACTTTTCTACAGGAAACCTGAACGGTCGTTTGCATAGACACGTGGATCCCAATATAGACCCCAATATACTACAATCCTCATTGTAGGGACCTTCAAAGGTACTTGCAGTTTTGGGGAAAGCCCCCAGTCATCTGGTCCTTTTTGCAGACACCTCTGCCTACGTGGAGGTTCAGGGCAGCTATAACCCAAGTAGAACTAAACCCTAGACAGTAGTTTCCATTTTCTTGTCCATTCGTTCTTTCTCTGCTGACCAGCGGCAAGTTCTAGCAGGCACTCCACATTCGATTGCCCGTTATTAGAATTATATCCCCAAACCCTACAGCCTAAAGAGTAATTTGCAGTTGCTGTTCAATTCTATATGCCAGTTTCCCAAAATGGGAGGACCAATATAGACCCCAAACTACTATAATCCTTATCAGAAGCTTAGAATTCCTCATTAGAACCCACATAAGCGTAGATGAGAGGGCTTATAAGGTACAGTCGCCCATCCTGGTATGTACTTCTGAGGCGCTTGGACAGCAAGAAATTAAGAATGAATCTTTTGAGGCAGGCTGGTCATAGTAAGGGCGCCTAGGCACAAGCTTCGATTGAGATTTCGGAAGACCATTCAAAGGGAATAAGTCTAAACACATATATATATAACCCCCAATATAACCCCAATAGAATGCCTTTAGGTGGGGTTTCGGGTTTAGGGTTCAAGGTCGTGATCTTCATCCCAAGAATGGTGTGGGAATGGATGTGGTTGTCGAAGACTGTGTTGCTCCATCAAAACACTGTTCCCTAAAAGCTGCATGTTTTGTTCATGAAGGCAGCTCCTGCATGTTGGTGCACTGGATCCTGTAGCGTCACCCACAACGAACGCTGTTCGTACAGAGGGGGCTGGTGGTTTTCTGCGGTCTAGGGCTTAGGGTGCATAGGCTCCAAAATGAATTGATAACGTTCGTGTTTACGGAACCCAACCATTGCAATGATTTAGGTGGACCCCCCACCCTGTAATAGTGACTATACGGGAAAATAGTGATTATATGAGGGTTCTGCATATACTCCTGCTACACCACTATTTCAGGGTGGGGGGTCCCGCCTAAGCCATGGAAGTGTTATCAAAATATCAGGTGGGTGCGGACCCACTTTGTGAAGGTACATTGGATGCTCCAACTCGCTCATTTTTCCTCCGGTTAGCAAGGAATGAAGGAATGAATCCATACCGTAATGCCTGCATAAACTCCAAGAACCCCCACGTTTCCCGTGTTCCTGTGTATTCCCTTAACCCTAAGCCCTAGTGGTACTTAGAACTCATTTACAACTACCCGGATTAGTGGACTGGAGGGTTTATGATTGAGTTATGAACACACTTCTACTTGGGCTCAAAATGCGCTAGTTAAACTCTATATGAGCTATAGTCTACGCTCCTAGTATCCCCCTCAATTACCCCTATACCCGCCCCCTATATAATCCCTACATAAATCTCTTTAAGGAGTTTTACACTATGGCTCATATACCCTCCAACATAACTGGGTTACAACCCTAAACCCTAAACCCCAAACGAACCTTCAAGTGCAACCCCTCACCCTGGGATGTCCAAAGGCCACATTCCTGAAAGCCTTACGCATGCTTGAGGGTACTCTTGGGGGTCCGGATAGTAAGGATTACAATATTTTGTGTTTATCTTGGGGCCCCCCCCATTTAAGGAAGCTACCTTGTATCACGGTGGGAAGCTTTCTTATGAGGGATGTCTTTTTTTTCGATTAGGGAACCTAAGCCTAAACCGCAAAATAGCACGGCCTCCTGACAGAAATCGCTTCACAACCTTAGTTGCTGTCTGTCTTGTTTGCCACAGGGTTTTGAGAAATGAGGGTTTCCCAAAGTTAGGGGGAGCATTTTGGGAATCCCTAGAATAAGCAGTACAGCATTTTGGGGTGTATATTGGGTCCTCGAAACTACCAAATGGTTTTGGAGGAAATTTTGCACTACCTACGTTCGGGTCTCGAAGTCCCGGGGGGTATTCCATGGACTTACATTATGTGAGGTAGTGCAAGATACTTAACTAACTGGTCCACCTCTTGAGATCTTTAGATCGTACTATTCAGGAGGAGGGCCCCAAGATAGTCAAGTCGGTGGAGGATATTTCCCCGCAAGTCTTGATGCTGGCCTGACAGGACTTATATGCGGTATTGTCTCAATCTACAGTCTCCCCGATTGGACACCAAACGGATACACTCACTGATATTCTCGAGGAATCCTTGGTACACTCACCAAAAACCATAATGAATACCCTATTTCATACACTTCTGCCGAGGCTATCTGTTAGCCCTACCTTGTTACATTGCTACGGTATACCTTGACTTCGAACAGCAGCTTAGGAAGCAACAGTGCAACCCTCCTGCACATTTGAAGTCATCCTCCTGAATCTTGTTTCAGAACGCTGGAAAAACTACTACATACCCTCCCCAAACCAATGTGGAACCCCGTGTAGTCCCTTTTGACGACTGATTGGCATGTTCAACTCTGAGCTAACTCTCGTGTTTAGGGTTTAGGGTCTAGGAACTTAAACCCTAAACCTAAACCCCAAACCCCACACCCCTAAACACGAAAGCTCATACACATTAGAACCTAAACCCTAAACCCCTAAACCTAAGCCCCCAAACCCCTAAACCCTAAAGCTCATACTCTCAACCCAGGCTCATAGATACTCCTTGCCTTGCGATTGCTTAACAGGGACTGGGGGAGGGAAAATAGGTACAATAACAAGGGGTTGAATGGGATTTATATAAGGACCTCCTCCTCCACTCCCCGGCAAACACCAGTGAACTTTGGAAATGTCTGCGTAGGTGGTGGGATCAAGTACTATACGCAAAAAAGATGATAAAACCTGACACTCTATTGGAGGCATAGGATCCCGAGTGAAATGACCATTGATCTGCAAGAAGGCGCGATGAGCCATTGCACCATGCTGTTGGCCGGCTTGCTGTCCAGGAACTTTAACTAAGGTCCCACAATATGGATATGCAGTAAGTAATCTGGTTTCCTGGGAATGGCAGCTTCATTTAGAACCCTGAACAAACTCTAGCCACAGTTTCCATTTTCTTGTTCATTTTGATTTGTCATTTCATTCTCCACTTTTCCGATGTACCTCTATGTAGCGCGAAGCAACCCAGAACGCTAGTAGGCAGCCACCCAGGTCTAGCCCCTTACCCTCAGCCCATATAGGTTGCCCGGCAGAACCCCCTTAAAACATGGCAACTTTCCTGTACATACTGTAGAAGCCGGTGCACTTCTCAATATTCTGTTGCCAGATTCCTTGTATAATTGTGGCATAGGGTATCTGAAGCAGATCTCAACACGACGGTGGTAATTCTCTGGACCCCAGAGTGCTCGATGACCTAGCCATGCCTTCGCTACCTTTACTAAAAAGGGATCTAAAAATTAGATCCCCTAGAACCATATGGGAAATTATATGAGGATTATATAGGGGTTATAATGGGTTTATATAGGGGATCTAAAGTGTTGGAGAATCCCCAACCAAAGCACTGCTGGAGCATTGGATTTTCTCACCGCTGCACTATGTTCTCATGCATCCTCTTTCCGAAGAAGCAAGCTGCTGTAAGCCTCCAGCGCGGCCTCCCGCACTTCATTCCAGCTTCCACAGCTTCATTACAGGGCTTCATTGGAAGTTTCAGGGAGTCACATGTTTGCAATGGGCTGGCATGAGACCATTTTTACGATGTCTGGATGGGTTCTTTGAAGGTTTTGCGCTTCTCGAAAGCTTTCTACGTCGTATGTTGGAGCTTGATGCGCTGTACTTCTTATGGATGTTCTGGAAGGGTATCTCATCCATAATTCCTCGTATCCTACTGCTACAATGATAGCTAACATCCTTAATCACTGCAAAAATATATCATGATGTAGCTACAACATAATGCATATGTCCTAATGCCTAATACACACATATATATATACATATATAGTTATAATACATACACACGTGCTGCAAGACTCAACGGTTCGGGTCTGAGAAGATGACACGCTGGGCAGACCCATTCCTAGGATTGCCATGCATCCAGCATCCTGGTTCCCAAATCCGGATACTTATCAGAACGATAAGTACAAGTAACACAAAGTACGTGTATACATACATGTATACTGCTCATTGTTACTGAGATCTAAAATCTGGAAAGTGAAGAAATGTGTTCAACTGTGACCCAGCAACCCGGTGGTGCAGGATTCTTCCATCAGTTTTGTCCCGCAAGGCCATATCCACAAGCCTAAGAAGTATAGCAAATGCATTGAAAGAAAGCTCTCAACACCCTTTACTTGATAGCCCAAACGCCAAACACATCCTTAACAAGTCAAGTGCTAGTCATGGTGCCATCATGTAAGGAGTTGGGCCTCCAAACCCGATAACTGATTTCTGACTGCTGTGGTGAGGCTGGACTCTACCCACGCAGAAAGAACAACCATAGGGTTGACTGGCTTCTTGTTAAACAATTTAATTTAGGTCACCACCCTAAACCCTAAACCCCAATGCTACGTGTACCTAAATCCCCTCAGCTCTACAAAATATGCTCTCTAACTGCTATATGGCCCATGGGGCTGCTATGTACATATCCCTATGAACCGTAAATCCTAAACCCTAAGCCCTAAGGAAAAAACATGCCTGAACCCCCCCCCCCCCCACCAGCACTGAAGCCCATACCCTATCAATCCCTGAATGCCACCCGATCCCAGAGCCCGCCTCAAGCCTCCAAACCCACCCGAGCTCCAAGTCCCAGTAGTCCAACACTTGAGCTATAGTCTAAACT